TTTAAACAATCAATCACCACGATCCAAGAGTAAGATGGATATATACAATTTATTCATCCAATACTTAACGTTAACCTTCGGGATACCAAGAACAATCAGGATCTAAATATACATCATGTATCCCAATACACTCAACATCAACAGTTTCGACGATAGATCTTATACGTTAAACCGCATGTTTTTATTCGCGGAAAGCATACTCCGAGAATTGCCTCTTTTAGTGTACAATTAGAGGAAATTATCGAACCACTAATCGTTGTCACACTTGAACTTCCCAGCCATTCGAGGTGACCGTGAAGAGTTGAGGACGTGTAGCCGTTTACGAGGTACGGGTAATGGTGCGATACCTCTAACCTCCACCGCGTCTACACCCTGTACAACGTTCTCGCAAGCATAGCCAGGGCCGTAACGCGACACAGCATTACCTAGCATGCGATACCTACGACTGCTCTGCCATCGCAGTCCCTTTCAGTCCAGCCGTGTCCACCTCAGGGTCGTAAAGTGAGAGACCCCCTCCAGACTGCTGCCTTGCTGCTATTGTGTGTCACATTGTCTGCCAGTCGAGTTACACGTCTAGTTGGCTAGATTACGTTTTACTGCCAAGTAGCTCGACCACGTTGCTGCTTTGTGCAGCCGCTCATTTGCTCTGAACCGCTAGGGTCCCGACGCTGCCGAAGCTCAGAATGCTCGTCGTCTCGACCGCGTCGCCTATACCGATGTTCACCTCGAGAATAGCTATCCCTCCTGCCTCCGATACCAGGCAGCCGACGATAAGCGCGTTCGTTACGTTTTCATGCGAATCTCGTTTGCCGAATGAGCGTTCAGGGAAATTGGGAAACTCACTTTTCTTTTTAAGCCCGGAAAATTTGAATACTTCGTTATCTATACGTGAATACGTATCTGCACGATATTCATGGAAACCATTAGTCCAGAGTATTTATTTAAAATTTACAGTGCTTACGAATTCACACATTTCTTGCAATGGAATGAAGTGACGTATTACAAGGAGTTTACAAAATATATTCTTGAGTGTATTAATTGAGGTATATAATTCGACTGAATTTACAGTAATTATGCATCCTAACTAATGTATACGTTACGCGGCAGAATATTTTCATAATTGAATGCATCTGAATAAATAGGTAATTCACCTTCGACTCAGGTTCAAAGTTTTCATCCCGGTATTCAGTAAGATCCCCAATGCGCTTTTAGTCGCTTCCAACGTCGTGTAGACGTGCACGTGCGTTGATATTTGAAGAGGGAAGAAAGAGGAGCGTGTAGAGTGCAAGAAGGGAGGCGAAATGGAGAAAAAGGAGAAGGAAGATAAACGCAGAGTGGCTGGTGTGCGTGATGGTGCGTGTCATTGCAGCATACGTACTAGGTACTACGCATTACCCAATGGGAGAGGACGAGTGCGTCTGTCGTGTATTATTCTGGGGGTCCCCTTGGATCAACAAGGCTAAGTAGGGGAATCGGTCTGCGAGGAATTTCTTTTGATGCCGTTAATAGAATTTTCACATCGAGAGGACTCCATCTTCTGGGTCCTGTGTATACCCCTTGTGCTTGCTTTTGGTAGGAGCTCATTTTCTTTCGAGCATTTTTTTTCACCGCCCCTATCACTTCCCTCGATACTTACCGTCATCATCATCGTCACCGAGAGGCATTTGACTTTTCTTATATATTTTCTTCCCATTAACCCAAGATACTGATGAAGCCGCGTGTTTTCTCATTGCACGTAGATACTTATGGCGTCTCATGCCTTCGTGATGAGGATAAGGTACGAATACGCTGACAGGAGGACACGAAAGCATCGTAGACCGCGGTTGCCATGAGGAAATAACATATGCGTCGCATGCCTCCAGCCTGCTAAATGCATCAGCCGCTTGCGACCGAGATCTTTCCCAGCAAATCAGTCATCGATGCCTTCGTCTATGCACTTAGCAACCCCATCCTTGTAACGTTGTATCTCTTTTTGAAAAAGAAAAAAAAAACAACATCTCACTGAACGAATTAACGAAGACGAGTTTCCCTCGCTGATGAGAGTTACGGAGGTAACGTGCTGTTGAATTAAAAATCTCGGAGTAACGAAACACTTATTAATTCTGGAACTGCGAGAGAAATTTATCTGGTATTATGAAAAGGGTATTTGCATTTCCCGAAATAACACGAAGGTGTATCTCTGAATCGAATGCAATGAATATTTTCGTGTAATGAGGTAGAGTGGTAATTAAAAAAAAAATCTAAATGCAAATAAAGTATAGCGTAGATTCGTAGAAAAACAGCGACGGGCAAGATTGTAAATATTATATGGATTTTTCGATAATTTGTTTTCCGGGTAAAAAGCATTGTCTGATATGACGTCGTGACGAAGTGTCGCGGAACGACTTGAAATAAAATTTCCTGAGAAAAAATGGGGCCACGTAACTATACAATTTTGCTTATGAGTTTGTTCATGTGGGTGAGAAGTCTATACGCATAAATGGCGCATTGTATTCGGTATGCGCTCGCGAATGGCTTGTGTAGGTGCAGGAGCATTTCGCCTACTTCCCTCAACACTTGGGCCATTTAATAACAAGGCACGCTCGACGAATTATTTCGCCGACCCATTTGCGCGATATTATTCGGCACTTTTCAACGGTGGAAATTGTAACGTAACCTCAAATTGAACCAGTCAAATTCGCCGGTGGAGTTTCATGAATAAATTCACGGCTTTAATAAATCGTTTGTATGTTTATGCGCTGTTAAATTTTCACGGCTATTATACACGGTCATCAAGCGGCCAAGAATCTCACTAATATTGGCTAATGAACAATTTCTCACCTACTAAAATATCATAAGCACTTTGCGAATGGCGCTTTCGAAGAACTCGTTTGAATTTCACGCGGCGGACGTTGCGTTTATAAAAATAAAAAAAAAATTAAAATTTTATTAAAATTTCATAGTCAACGTTAGTTTCTTATTATGGTATAATATCGCCCCTGACGCATTGAACGTTACTTGTCGAAGTCAGGAAAAATTGGGTTTTCGTTAATTTACTAAAGTTTCAGCGGCGAAATCAGGAGATGCGGCTTGACGGTAGTTTCAACATGTACCGCCAAGCCGCGTCAATATTGACGAAGTCAAATTTTCGTACGAGGTGGCGATCCATCTATTAGGTTTCGAGAGGAAGAAGAGAGAGGAAAAAATAGTCCGGCAGGTCTATTAAACAATCGAAAGCCTAAATCAACAAGACGACCTAAAAACACATTAAAGATAAGCAAGCGAAATATGGGCCACCCACGACGTCATGGATGAGTGCCGCGGACCCACGGTAGTCTAATTTCAAAATGGCCCCAAACAGTTACCTCGTCGAAAATTCCCTTTTCCGGCGGTCTAGAAAAGAGGGACGAAAAAAGACGAAACGAATAGTAAAGCTTCCCCCACAGTGTCGATTTCATATGAAAATGAAAGGGAACAAAAAATTTCTTATCCGGGACACACTCGCCGGAAGATCTGCCAGGTTTTTCAGGTCGTCGCGCTCGTTCTCATTTCTACTATTTCATTACGTGCACTCGGTTGATTTCGCGTTGCGCAACAACCAAACGAGCTTAAGAATCTTTCGTTTTCCCGCAACCCGACGAATACGTGATGTCTCTTTCACGAGATGAGAAACCCTACTACCGTGCCTGCGGGTTTGTCAGTCAGGTTATACTTTTTCTTGCTTTTCCTCTCCTTTACGTTTTTCTTTTCTACCCTACACACTTCAACTTCTCCTTCTTCCTCGAGAGAGTAAATTCGATATTGCAGTGTAAACGTTGGCGACCCTGTTCCTTCGGCTAACTAGCGGCACACTAACCTCGCATAACGTCAACTTAAATCAACATTCAACTGGAAGGAGCTATGCTTCACGGACCTGTGAGCGTTAAACGTGTTTTAGAGCCTAAGATTTTTTCAAAAATCTTTCAAGTTTGAACAGTCAAGTGTGGACGCTGCTTTGCACCATGCTTATAAAAGAATTTCCTTGTTTTGTTCAGCCCTCGTTCAACGTCAAATTACGAAACAATCAAGTGGTCAATTGAGAAAGAATATTCAAGTATAACATAACATCTACAACTTCGTTCCAATCACCTGAAATAATCGTGACTTGACAACGTGAAAAAGAAAAAAAAAAACAGAATATTCCGTATAGATGGCGGCACTGCATCACATCTGATACAGATTAAACAGGAATGAAACCATATTTCCTAGCTTTATGGCCGCGAAAGAACGCTTCATTTCAGACCGGCAGCGGCGGTACTCGTGGACGAAACGTGTAATGGAAGATTTTGCGAAAGATTAACGATTTTCCAGAACCCGAGTATCATACGAATATTCATAGTAATGCGCATTACGCGTCACCGAGATAATACGAATGCTTTTATTCGGACAAACCACGAAAATCAAGCAGAACAGTTATGTACGACAGCGCGCTATAGGACTCGACTGATGTCACGAAGAGCTCGTAACATAGGTGAATTACGCGAAGAAACGTCACATAAGTAGAAAGCTATAATAGTTCGTCCTTTGTGGACAGACATAATAACGTCGTAATATATCGCTGTTAATTTTCAAAGTATCCAATGGCAGAAGCTTAGCTGTCGGACCGAGTGGATTATTCAAACGAAAATATTTTATATCGATTTTCAGCACTTAACACGGATGATCTCCACGGATTATCTTATGAAATACGTTATTATAAAATTTCAAAATATTTTTGAATGTCCTCTCGAGAAACAGGTATATGAACGGAACGAAGTTTGCTGGAAAATAATTTACGTAACTTTTAACTCAAGCTCACAATTTTCCATATACATTTTAAAATTTCGTCTTATAAAAAATTCATGACCCCTTCGTAGACCTATATTCAATTATTAATTCTGCGAATAATTATTGTTGTCAATATTAATTAATTTTTTATTCATTAAAATTACTGTACTCGACAAATACCCAGTCCCGTATAATTTTCATGAATAAAATCTTACCTTGTCACTCCAATGGGCCAAGTCCAAAAGAAAGTGAGCTAGCAGCATCCCCTCTCGTTTCAACTTTTGGCAGCCTGTACAGGCACGGTTTCTCGATCCGAGCTTGCCAGGATATCCTCGTTCTCCGCCTACAAAAGTACAGAGTGTATTTCACTTTTTCGTTTGGATCGGAGCCTACCCCAGCAGATACACCCAGATACGCATATACCTAAAGCGATGGGCTAACTGCAGCAATATCAGCGATAGTACACCGTATAGAACTATCCACCGGCAACACCGTCATAGGCATAGGTACCACAGCACCATTACTAGCCATCATTTTAATATGCATCGGTTTTCCGGTAGCGATTCCTTGGCACGGCCAACATTCGGCACCGTACCAATACCACAGCCCGACTAGAGATGTAAAACGCATTGAAGATAGACATACAGCACGCAACGTGGATACGTGTTATTTTAATACGAGACGCTGCATTGCGCTGGTAGTCGGCCGCGAGCGGTTCCGCCGTTAGCCAGTTTTATTTCATTTTATCTTGGCCGAGTGCAAATAGCAGTTTAGATTGGTAGGATCCCGTAGCGAGCGGGTAGTTAGTCATGTATGCAATGCCTGTCTGTCGGTTGGTTTGGCTGATGTTTCTGTAGCCGCGCGGTATATTCGTCGGCTGCCAACTTTTAACTTATAGGATATATGTTTTTGTACAGCTAGGAATCGTGCTCGCGCCCTAGTAATTGAAAAATATTACGTCGGCCTCCCGGTGCAAAAATTGCACGTGCCAGCGACGGCTTAAAACAACGTACAGGAGTTAAGAATAAAGAAGCCAACGGTACCGAGTCTTCTGGTTGGTACCAACGACGGAGAATAGATACGTGTTCAGAATGCGGTGGATGTCACGTTATTTCGAGTACACGCTCCTCCCGTAAATATCCGTGTCGAGTGTAGGTACTTCGGGATAGCGTCAAAGTTACATGGACGAGCTTGACGCTGAGGGGAGAGCGGTTGTATCGGTTGCTAAGGAATTGAAAAGTTAAGATCGGTGAGTCGTGTAGAACAGACAGCTGTCCTGGACGTGGATTATTAGAAAGGACGTAGATTCCGGGGTGAAGTTATTTCAAGTTGGTATCACATACTTTGTCTATGGCAGTATTTGGCGGTTGGTACTGGCTACTTTGGAGTAAATATAAGTAGCCAGGAAAAATTTGTTATACTTAAGTACTCGTTTCCCAGGGAAAAATGGCCTGGGAATGCACAAAGCGGATACACTTCGGGCGATCTCGTGCCATGGGAAAAGTTCTTCGGAATGGCCGAGCTGGGCGATTTTAAAAAGTTCCCGAGGTGCATGGAAAAGTTACAAATGGGCAATAAGCAGATTGGATTCAACGTTGGGCCAAGTATGAAAAAGCCCGAAGGCGCTTCTGGGAGTATAGCAATGGGAGCGCTTGCCAAATATGAACGGCTTTATGAAAAGTGAAGAAAAAATAAAAGAGGATTCGGTAGAAAAATAAGATACAGAATGATCGAACAGTAGTGTTACTTTTGACTGTGACTGCTTTTGCATATACCTACAACAGTATACATAGTTATACTGTCACAAGAAACATGAGTGTCGATCAGGCACATCTTGGACGTATCCCAAAAATAAAACTACCCCTTAAACAATCTATATCCAGTACTCACATTTCTTAAAAAAAAGAAGAGCTCAAACAATCCCATTTCGAAGGGATCGCCGTTTGCACTTTGAACGGCACGCGATGTACCCAATGGCATACGTATAGGTATTTGTATGTTTCCCAGAAAGTCGTGCGATACGTGTATCATGAATTCGTGGTCGCTTCCTTCGAGTGTTACAGGTATATATACCTATATACATAAGTGCCTTTAACAGAAAGTTCAAATGCGTGCGTTTGCGTGCGCTGTTATTTCAACGCGGCAGGTATAAGGCAAAGCACTTTGGCACATCGTGTAAGCTACCAACTTCTTCCTTCTTATTTCCGTGGCCTTGTTCGCCCTCACCCACTCCTTATTTGCCTTACTTAACGCGACTCGAAGTGCAATAAAATAATGCGTGAAGGCGTTGCCACTTTAAAAGGTATTCCAAGTTCAATGCAATCGCTGCCACCGAAGGACTCGACGAGATGGAAGAAAATGAGGATGACAAATTCCATTGCAGAGCTGAATATGCATAAACCATACATACACTGAACATGCCTATACCCACTACGTGACAGTTCGTGTGAACGTATGAAGATTTTGAAAAATTACTACAAATCTCAATACTACTGCCGAGTGCCATATAATTACGATACACCGAGTATATACGATAAAAGACTGAGCGATGAGTATATTCGTCATTAAAAATAACAGTCGTTATTTTCGTTCGATTACGTCATTCGGTTCGCCCCAATTATCATACAAGTTCTTACAGTTAATTAGCTCGTACAGTATAGACACCTGACGAGAAACTAATCGAAAAGTGAATGTTGAGTCACGAATCTAGTGTGAACTGAACAGCTGTTCTATTTTTTTGTCCTTATGTAAAAATATTGATCAAATATATAGTATTTTATCAAATATACATGTATTTTGTATGATAAAAGGTATAACGGTAGAAGTGGTCTGGAGAACTATTCCTTGGAGAGTTTTCGATCGAAGAACGATATTGACGGTTCGGTTATGTAATGCGAATGTCTTGAGCTGGTAACTGCTTGAATGAAGGAGAAAACCAATCCAAAACTAAACCAATAAAAAACTTCCATCTCGTACCGACCTCCGACCTCCGACTTCTCTTCCGATGCAGTCCAACCGGCCTCTCTTCGACGCTTCGCTTACTTTATCGACCATCAAACGATTCCAGTACTGATCTGCCCTCGAATCCGCGGGTTCTACTCTTATGCCACCTACCTACTAGGTACCTACTTACTTTAGACAATAAAGTTTCCTGTTTATATGTTGGTACTATTCGTTCTTGTTGATAGCGAACGACTGCGGGATATAATACCTAAATCACATTTTACCATATACTAGAGATAGATAGGGAATAGATACTTGTGGAAAAACATGTAATGGCTTAGTAACGTGTAATTAGATAAATGCAAGGAAAAAGGGTGTTTTATAATACTGAACAAAGATTGGTGACTTGAGGATTTCAGTGTACTGAGGAAAATTAGTAAATATTTTTCGTACGTTAATGGTAATTTGTGCTTGATAATATTGTTAGTCCGATATGGTACTCTTTTCCTGGATATAAGGATTCAAGAAGCTGCACGTACTGCGGCATTAATAGTGATACCATGGAGATTTTATGGGTCGTAGAAGAAATTAAATGGTGAATGAGAAAACAAGGTTATTTACATTGAGAACCGCTCTAATCGCGATTCTCATCTTTGCTGCATGCACGCGTATATATTTTCCAGGAGATAAGCAAACAACAGATTTTATTGGTTTCTTATGTGTTTAGTGATTTAATGGTCAATCGGTATACTTTATTCCCCAGCTATTCCCATCAAGACTTTGTTTCCAGCAGCTGCTACAGAAATCACATGCTTTATAAACCTGATCGATCGTCCGGCATTCCATTTGAGAATCCACCTTGTTTTTCTTCTACTCGAAGCCAAAGGCAATCGACCAAGTTGAAATAGTGAAAGGGCCACGAAAAAAAAATTATACCCCATAAAACACTTTAGCGTCGCGAAGGGCTTCTGGTACGATTACGGAATCCGGAAGTACGTAAGGAATGTATCGAAACTCGGTAGTTGTCATCGTAGTAGCGTTAACTGAACGGAGTTGAATTCTTTAACAGCAGGAGACGCCATTAACTTGACGATACACGGAAATTTCGTTCTTCAAATGTCACGTATCCATCAACGCCTAATACGTACATTGGACTACAGGTTCGTTCATCCGGATAGAACTGTTTGATGTGGGAATTTGATGATTCTCGATTTCTCAAAGGATTCTAATCCGATTCTGGCACCCACCACACGGTTGGACACTTCCGGCCAATCACCTTGTCGAGCACGTAGTTAAACTGGGGTTTACGTCCGCTGAAACTCTAGCCGTGTCTAGGATGTACATATAACATTTCGAAGGAAGGACAAAGTTCGCGGGGTTACTGATCTATGACGTTATTAGTCGCAACATGTGGCGACCCGTCGCGACCCGAAGGCGACATATTGAACTATCCCCTTTCCGAACTATATTGGACGGCGCATAACCGCCCTAAAACACGAAGCATTCGCCGAAATTAAATGAAACGTCACGTATATTCATTTCGTTAATTTACTTGTCGCAGAATCAGCGGCTCTTATTACTTCCGACCCAGAATCGACCGAATACAAGAAAGAAATCAACACCTTCTGGACTGTCGACTTCTGTCAATGATTTTGATAAAAAAAAAATTTCTAAATTCTTATTATTACATATGATTTTCCATCGTCCTAAGACACGAACGACAATATAAGTATTCACAGCTGATCGTATCAACCCAAAAATATTCTTTCGTCTAATTGACAATCAACTCCGAAATCCTTTATAATTCCATATACTGGCAATACGAGAAAAAGCCGCAGGAACAGAGACGAATGGCAGGTCAGAGTAAAGGCTTCCTCGTACGTGTTACTCGTATTTGAAGCTTACCGGTAACTCTATTTACGGACTGTTTTCTGAGAAAGTAACAAGCATCGTTCATGTATTTCGTATAACGTGACCCAGTGTAAACTCAGTGGCGGTGGTACGTCTTCCGGTCGGAGTGTCCCGTCGATCATTCTAAGTCCATGAAACCTTCGTGAAGCACAGCGGAGGACATTATCGCAAGCACTCTCATGTATCACTCTGGCAAGTCCGTGCTTACTACCTCCATCCAAAACTATCCATGCTTATATGCCACTCTATAGCTTAGACACACGTACTCACATATTCACGCGGAAAGTTTATGTCTTCGGGGTAATACGAAACCATTGCGCTTCCATTGCCCATCGATTTTACAAGCAACTTCCATCAGGTACCGTGTAAAGAGGCTCGATTACTATACGTTTCATCTATACATATAGATATAATTCAGCTTGCTTGTTATCGCAAATTACTTCGTATGCAATATTACACCGTTAATGACTTATGGTACTAGCATATATAACGTGGGAAAATGTATGTACCATTAAACGAAACCCCCGATAAGACTTTTACTAGTACTTTACTGTACCTGCGTAGTCGTGAATTTCCATAGTGGTGTTCCGAGAGGCCGCTTCTTTCAATACGGTGAAAACAATGTAAGGGATGCAGTTTCCGTTCTGACCCAGCGACATAGATTCGCTTTAGGTTTGACTGTCAGCTTGCCAATCCCTGTCGGCTGGTAGAAAATTGTAACAGTCAAATCCGAGGGGTCGCCGACTCCAGACGCAGGACTTTGTTTCGCAAAAGGCCAATATCGAATATATGTACCGAATATACTATCTCTTCCTTGCTTACAAGGAAATACACTACAGTCTCTACTTTCGGTAGTTCTATACGCTACATATGTTGCCCTATATGGGAAATACAGAAGATAGAGAATATGGTGTGCAATGTTGGGTCAGAGTGGAAGCTTCAACAAATATAACCCACATTTTTGTCTTGCTTTTCAGCTGCTGGTCAATATGCACTCTATTTATTTTGCGATGAAATATATACATATCTCTGAATATGTATATATGAATGGGATGAATCGTGCTGCCACCTATATGACTTCTGAACCGTTCACTAGCAGCAGAATGATAATACTGTGGAATTATTCTTTCAGACGCATACTTCATATCTCGAATGAAAATTTAGTACAGGAATCTTTTATCTGTGGAATTCTGATACGTTTGCTTCCCGGTGACGTAAGTGTAATTTCAGAAAGAAATCAAATGGATGAGATGGAATAGTATATCCCTTTCCCAGATATTTTACATACATATATTGCCAGTCTCTAGTCCCGCAGTGAATGTGCTCTGGAATAGAGCCAGGTGAACATTTAGGTTAAACAGAGCCCCTGGCGCAGCCATTCCTCGCGATCAAACGAACCGCCACAAAGTTTAATAAAAACCCGACCGTGGATTTTTGTTTGGAAATGTCAAACGGCTATCCCGCGTGAAATATAAAAATCTCATCCCTGGCCGTTCCAGATGCTTCCCGCGGAATTAACTTTTACGACGGGGAATTTTCCTTTTTCTTTTCCGTCTCCAGTCAGCCGCGCGTCAAGGGGTGGCTTCACTTGAATTAGATGGGTTTGAGAGTCCCAAAGGTATACACACATTTCAATGGAATAAAATGATACTTTTAGTGGAATTCGATAGATTTCAAGATTTTTAATTTTTTTTTTCGTAACCTAGATTTTTCAATGATCCAACATGGTGCTACTGTGCATATGCTGTTTATTGACCCCGTAAACGTATGATACGATAAAATGTCAATTTTTTGTCAACTGACAGCAACTGGATACTAAATTGACAGAATATTTAAAGAATACCAACCCTATGATACTCCAGTTTATGTCCCAACAGAATCCCTTACCAAGAATCATATCACATTTAAATATGAATGCCAGACCCACACCCGTGCCTCGACATTGTAAAGCCAACTATGGCGTGCTTAGATGGACACATTACTCCAGATTATATAGTAAATGGACACAAATTTATGTTACCGTAATACATAAATTTACTACTAAATGCTACGAGCTCTAGTAAATCTTTAAACCCGCCCTGTATTGCAGGGTAGGTATACATAACATGTCGGTGCAACTACTTTTCTACCTTTTTACCTATCAACCTTTATTAATACACGCTAGATATCTTCCTCTCATTTTCATGTACAATGTTCAAGGAAGTTACAGTGAAAACAAAGAGAATTTATATAATTAAATGGAGTACTAATTACGCAGAAGTGAATAATAATAAAACACTTACTGTTTACGTTGTCCTGGGTTGCACAGGTTGTTAAAATAGCTTGTCTCTTCGCGATTTCAAATGCTGGATTAATTCTTGAGAATAAACATGTCAACAGACAGTGCTTCTAGCGAACAGTGGCTCTCCTTCGTGTCTCTGCTCAGGACAGCCAACTTCGTCCCGACAAAAAGCCTACCGTTTCAGATGGCGCTGCGGTATGACAACGAAAGACCCTAGATTTGAATGGTCAACACATATTTTTCTATAATGCTTCCCATATTTTCATGTAGACAGAGTCCCAACGCACCAGCTTTCATTTTATCCTATAAATTCCAAAATTCACTGAAAATGGACATGTCATATTTTGACAAATAATAGGGTTACATTAAACTATGGTACTTTTACGCACTGATCGTATTGCACGTGGATAATTCAAGCGTGGGACATTTCATAAACATGGAAATGCGGTTTGTCTAGGAATCTATTGTGGCGCTCCTACAAAACCCAACCTAACATATTTATATTGTGTGGCTACGCTATAGAGGCATAAGAGTTCTACATACCTACATTATGTATGTATCCACAAGGGCCGCTGTTTGTACGACTCGCGTTCTCTATGACTACAAAATGAAAATCCCATATACCTAATGTCAGCTGTGTGTACCGGGCTGACTGCAAGTTTTGAATTATATTCTAAGGTCAACTGTAGGCATTGGTAAGTGATGATATAAGCGCAGTGATGGATCACTGAAAAAAATTAATCTTTTATCATTGATTATCAAAGGAACACAAACCTAGACTCGCAAAAGCCGTGCTTAACCATATGTAAATTCAATAGAGTCTCACCCGTTTTCTATATGGTTTTATATGTACATATAAGTAATGTAATGTAATATTCTATATTTAGTATAACTTTTTAGTGTTCCATATCCGTAGCATGTGTTATTTTAATAAAGGTCTTTTGGTTACTTTTATCAACACTAATACTACTGATAATCATGTCAAGCATTATAAAAAGTGTCGTTAAAATAATCGTCCCTGGAAACTGACGACTGTGTATGGGCAGCCGCAAAGCCACATCAAAACACCGCGTGCTCGTCTCGCGTCCACATGGTTTAATAAAACGTGTAATAATTCACGATGTGTGACAGTGGGTGCTGCTCAGCTCAGCACGCATTGTCCCAACATTTTGGTATACGAAGCGAGTGCGCGTCCAAAGCAATGTGGGCGTCCGTCCGGGAGTTAAACTGCTCGAAGGGCTCGGGTTACCTTTGTGCATCAGGTGATTCAAGGGGGCCAAGTGCCTGTACAAAGAGTTTCGTTACATTTTGAATCTTTGGAATTCGGATCCCTTGTGCTCCACCCGCGAGCGGTGGGACGCGTCCTACGGCTTGGTAATTTAGAGGCTTTTAGTGAATAGGAGAAAATTGGTGGTGGAGGAAGAATTTTTTTTGGGTGTGACCAATCACTTTCGTTTCTGATTTTATTATCTTTTTTGTCATTATTATGATTTATTCCGTTGCATTAATTTCACTATACTCAAGTATCTTGAGATTTTGCATATCGCAGTGTATCGTCAGACCCGACTTTTTTACTTTTTATTACACGGCACGTATTGCTAAATCATTAGGGAATCCGGTATTCTGAATATTCATATATTCAATGAGGATATAGAGTAGGTAGATAGGTCGGGTTATATCCAGAAACCTTATTCTCGAATTTTCTGGATTTGGTGGAATTTTTATCTGCACGACTTGCCGCTTTGCATGCGAAAGGATCTACCGGAGACTCGCTTAGTTCAGATCAACCAGTTCGTTCGAGATTACCGTAGCGAATGTTCGCTCGCCACTTATTTCACGCTCAGAGTTTTCAAGACTTTTATTTCACATTGAAAACTTGTCGGTCATTACGAATTTCCAATATGTCTTAAAAGTTTTCTACCGATGCTCTGGTGGCCGTCCGAACACCCTAAGGACACATGTGCCAGCAAAGACTGGTGTTCTCCGGAGATCACGCTTCTATCATAAATACAAGTATGGCTCCCCTTTTCTGTCACAACCCCCTGCAGCTGCATCCCTTACACATTCTAGAGCAGTTACCTACGCCTTGTCAAAGATATCGATAATACGACCTATATAGACTTTTACTTTTTTTTTTTACTAAAGCACAACGACATTTCATTCACGTACTACGACTTAAGAGTCACCCTGTATATAACATATATGTATATTGTTAACCGCGAAGTACATACTATATTAAAACATATGATATTCGCAATGATAGAAATGATGTATTGTGTTTACGTGAAACTGACTATCGCGAATAAAGTTTCGGTCACTGCGTATATACATTGCATCGGATTCGTAACTTTGCCGGAAAAATAAGACATTCATCACGTACTAACCGGAAAGCACGCTCACAGCTTCTCGCAACATGATTATCGTGCAGCCAACAGACTCTCCCAGTTACTCATGATAACATTGCAAGGAATGAAAGAAAAAAAATTAATCGAAAGTCACAAACGACGTTATCGCTATTTTTACTCCTAGACGTACCAATTTCAAAGCATAAAATTTCACGTATCTGCTTCTCTGCTGTTTATTCGTTCTCTCTGTCTTACCCATAGCAATGCATAGATATGCATACCACTATAAATAAGCAAAGATAACATTACATACCGTGTGAATTATACCCTGTGTATATTACCGTACAGAAGAGACGACCCTGGTAGAGAGATCCGACGCTCCGGTTGGCTACGCTCAAAACCGCTCATAATTCCCATCCGGACGGCAAATTGCGCGCGAATCTCTACGGGTTGCGGAGCGCGAAAACCGCTGCATTTACGAATGCGGTTTTTCCTAAAGTAATTCGCGCCACCAGGTCGTTTCGCTAATCTGCTTACAGGGTACGACAGCCTTTTGCGATCCCTGCGTCTCTTTCACTAGAGAAATACCGTCTAGGCGGGGCTACCCGGATTTACCTAAAGCTCTGGAATATCGCTGAGATACATATATCGATATTTATACAGAAAAATCGATAAACGTATCGAAAGCATACAAATTCCTTTTTATAAATTTACAAATCCTCATTACGAATTAGTAGGACAAAAATGGTGGAAATTATTGGGCAAAATTTGCGAATAATTTATTTCTTTAATACGTATGACCAAAACATGGCAGTGCTCATATAGCTCAAAGCAGTGAGACAGTTGAGAAGTTGAGTCGATGGTAGGTGGGGCTGGGTTATCAACGTGATATCAACGTACGTGTGGCACGCGATAATTGAAATAATAGTAAATAACCTCGTAATTATAGTCTACAAGCCGAGCATGCAGTCAACGTACGTGCATGAGAGTCTCCTGAGTATGTGACCATACACTGTAAGTATACGTGATTATGATTAAGTATAGTGGAGAAGAATACTTGTCCGCGAGCTATGATACTTCTGTATATATATATTTACTATAGGCACGTGGCAGGCCTGTGGCGATACTCGAGGAATTTTGCAACATGTGGTTCGAACATGAATCTTTGATGGCAGGTACGAGAGATCAATGCCCTTCGACGGACTGTCGATAAGTTTTATTTGTTATTTAAAAATGTGTTATTTCGAGAAGAAAATAACAAAAGAATTCTTTAGTATCAAAAACGACCAGCGATAAGCTACCATGCACGCTGAGCCATTCATGAATATTCTAAGATCTCTGGCATATAATTATTCTGTCTATGCATAATTACCATGAAACGCTTTCATTAATTAAATAATTATTTTAATAAAAAACAGTCGATATACAGTACAATTAACAGAAAATCCATATCGAGCGTTGGCTCGATTACGGATTCTAATGTCATCCAGACTAGAGATACGAAGTCTCGTAAATAACAAAGTTTTCATATGAAAACGTGAGCTTGATTATTTATTCCGTTCCACGCTGCATATACCGCACCGGATAGATTAGACAAATGACCACATGCCAGACCAGTCTGTCATAAGTGCAACAACCCGTGAAGCACCGTGTAATAATGAAATCAACAAAACAATACCAGGTCCCTGAATCGAACAATGGAAAATGCGTATCATTATGCCGAGGAGAATGACGTAATATCGTGTTGAATAAAAAATAATCACACCAATTAAGAAGAACGCCTCCGATAACTTAACCTAAAGTTATACACCCTGACATTTTTCATCGTGTAACATAAATAATACATTCTTTTTTATTTACCTTCGTTATGTGTACAATTCTACTGGAAATCTTCCTTATCGACTGTGCTACAGAGACCGTGACTGAAAAGACTTTGGGTACCATTCCTTTTTTGATACGGACGGGTTAAGGTACGGTCCTAAAAATTTGTAAATACGAGTCCGACGTATCACAATAGGATACAGCGTGGGAGAAACAATTTGTCAGTCGTCGAAGAAGTCGCTTCTTGACAATGAACATTCCTCCTGGTTCTGTCATCGTTGAAGCCATTCGGTAAGCGAGAAACTAGGGTCGGCTATGGTCAACGGCAAAAATGAGGAGTAGGGCAAAAAAAGGGACACCATGATTTATTAGCATCGTGGGACTGGTGCCACTTTTACCGCACTACGTGTCTAATAAACTACAACAGTAAACGCTTCGAGGACAGCTCCTTGAGCGCCTTTAATACCTATCCTTAGGCCGACGGTGTACTTATTTTCCGATAGTTCTTCCACTATTGCCAACTTTGACCATCTATAGGGCATATCAGGAGACTCGGTCGAGTCTCGCGCCAAGTACAGTCAACCGGCGGTACAGCCAGAGCGACGAAGCAAGTCACGTGACTGAGAGTCATTAATGGTGTCCTTCTTGTGGACGTCGTGCGGTCAGGTAAGAGAAGAGAGTGAGCGGCGACTGTTTACGTATCTCGGCCCGTGCGTGCAACGGAGAGAGCACTACGGTGCGAGCGAAGGGCGAGAGACCTTACGAGAGCTAGGCTTGCAGTAGATAGCCGACTCGTTCGCACCAATGCTCTGCGAAAAGGACGCAGCGAGTGACGATTTGGCGATTAAATAATCCTGCACACTCTCCTCCTCCTTGAGGACAATTGGGAAACTGTGATATGCCAGGCCAGTAGAATGTAAATGAAAGTTGTAGTTCCAGTT